ATTATAAGAGAGAGTGGAAAGCGAGAAAAATGGGATATTGGAGAACTGAGAAAGTGGAAGGTGACAGAATTTGTTATATATTGATGGATATATGCTATGTATACAAGGATACGATAATGTTGATCATATTATCTTTATTTAAACTATAATTTTTCTAATTGAAATTTCAATTATAATATATATATTTATACACACACTTTTTATTATGATTTAGCACCTAATTTATGAAGGTCTTTTTTTTTTCAAATAAGATTGTTAAATGTAAAATTGTATACTTAAATTATTGTATTTATGAATTTTTTTCCAAATATTAACCCAAAATTATTCGTCAATACAGTCCATGTCTTTGGGCTATCAAACCCAACTATTGTTTTAATTCTTTTCTCTTATAGTAAATCAAGAATTTTGGACTAATCGACCTATCATCCGATACTTGGAATTTTGATACTATAATTATAAGGGGTGGATTTATGCGGGGTTCGACTATTTCATAAATGTAGTAGTCATGCCTCAAACCTTTAGGGTATGTTTGATTCTCCAAACTTTTCCATGGAAAATGGAAAACATTTTCTACTTCCCATTTTTACATTGTTTGATACAACATTTTTTCCTTGGAATCTATTTTCTGCCTTTGGCTTCACACAGTGGGTTTTCCTTCAAATTGTGGAAAATCAATTCCCACCACTTTGGTAGGAAAATGATTTCTATCCCTTTTTTTTAGCAATAGTAACAAATTCTATCCACAAATGCAAAAAGAAATTTCCCTTTAATGGACTATTTACATGAAAAGCAAAGTCAAACGAATACCAAAAGATTCAAAATTTCAACATTTTTTAGGTGAAAAATTATACCAATCAAACAAAATTAATTACAATTCCTAATAAAACAATTTATAGGCAATTCAATACCCTGAAATTTTACAAAATTTATTCTTAAATAATGGGCTCAAAGTGGACTTAACATTTAGCCCATGTTTGGTGGGGATTAAAAAGTTGATGAAATATGCTATTGAAAAGTTGCGGGTCTCATGAAATATGTTGTTGGAATTAATTATTAACTTTGACNGTTGGAATTAATTATTAACTTTGACTTAGATTAAAATCTTCATTTTAATCAATACCAAACAGGGGTCTAATTAAACTTTTTGGTTAGGTGAAGATGATACGCGCACGATATTAATAGGTCGAGGATTTGAGTCTTACAAATGAAAGGCCGGGGAACATGGTTACTATATTTATGAAAAATTGGGGATCCGAAGGAATTTATCCTAATTATTTTCTGTTTATTAGTGAGTGCATTAAACGTTCTATTTATATTAATATAAATAGACACTAAAACTTGGCCAGTGTTTGGTATTGATTAAAATATAATTTTAATCTGGATCAAAGTCTATAATTAATTTTAACCACACATTTTATAGGCTCCACAACCTTTCAACTACAGATTATAAGCTTTTATAAAATAGACTGAAAATCTGATTTTAATCCCAAACAAACATAATCTTAATAACAACAATAATTATTATTGGTGACTTAAAATGATTAATGTATTAATGTTCAAGGAGCAAGTTTCTCTCTAACCTTTTTAATTGAACAAATTGATCTTGTTATCGTTGAAATTTCTGTAAATTGTCATGTTAGGCAGGTAAAAACAAGCTACACTTCAAATTTATGAATATTAACCTAACTAGAAAGGAAATCTAATTTTAAACCGTGTCAACAGATTTATCGTTTTCATCATTGTAGAGATTCCCTATAAGAATTTTTTTTTTTTTTTTTTAAATTGACCGCTTCCTTTAAAATTAGGGATCAACTTACTTAGCCACATTGGACAATCATTATAAAGCCCTTGTTTGATCCTTATTTTTTTCAACAATCTTGCTATACATACATCAAAGCTTACATAATGACTTACATAACTGCCATGTGTCACTTTATCATCGAACATTTTAAGATGCATTCAATTTTTTCGTCCAATCATT